GCGGCTCTCGAGCCACATGCGGCTCTTTGGCCTCTTCAGTGTGGCTCTTCCACAAAATACCGGCTCTTCCACAAAATACCGACTTCTGGGCATGGGCCTCGAAGTTTCAATCGCACTGTATGTGGGCGCCCGCACGTGGTATTTTGTGGAAGAGCCACACTGAAGGGGCCAAAGAGCCGCATGTAGCTCGCCAGCTGCAGTTTGCCGACCACGGAGCTAGGGCAATCCAGAAGGTTTTAGAAGTTCCCTTCTAGGACCCTAGGACAAAGACCAGACAGATACCTTATTGTATAACATGTATTATCAGATTGAAGAATCATATTGAACCTGAGCAGAATATTTTTAATTCTGTGGGTAGATATACTAGTATATACTAGTATATAAAAGAGCAAACAGAATACACCAAAGACAGAAAAAAAAAATCTTAAATGCAACCAGGGAAATAAGACATAACTTAAAAAGGAACTAAAATAGAGTAACAGCAGACTTCTCATCAACAGCAATGGAGGCTAGAATACAATGGAATTATATCTCCATTGCCACACCATGCCACAAGGAAGGGCCAGGTGTTTTACATGGAGAGGCCACATGTAGGTGTCTGGCAGCCCCAGCTGAGGCTCCATTCAACAGCCAGCACCAGCCTCCAGCCAGGTGAGTGAGTGAGCCTTCAGGTGAGCCAGTCCCAGCCTTCAAGCCACCCCTACTGAGCCCTGCCCAATCCATGGACTTAAAAGAAGTGATGGTGTTTTAATCCTCTAAGTGGGGGTGGTACCCTGCGTAGCAATAGGTAACTGGGAAATATGTGAGCCCTTTTTTAAAAAAAAAATGTTTTATTGATTTCAGAGAGGAAGGGAGAGATAGAAACATCAATGATGAGAGAGAATCATTGATTGGCTGCCTCTTGCACGCCCCACAATGGGATCAAGCCTGTAACCCAGGTATGTGCCCTTGACCAGAATCGAACCTGGGACCCTTCAGTTCGCAGGCTGACACTCTACCCACTGAGCCAAACCGGCTAGGGCTATGTGAGCCCTTTTTACTCACTACTTAAAAGCTGCTGTGCTCCGTTGGAGCCCTTTGGGAGCTCTTAACCCAAACATCTCCTTTGCCGATTGAAAGGAAGTCCAAACCTTATCAATTATTTTGAGTTTCCTCTTGCTCTAAAGCTGCTTTGGTTTCCAGGAAGAGAAGAAATGTTCCGTTTACCTCAGGAGAGGGAGTTTAAGGAAAGGCTACCAGGGCCCCTGGGAATCCAAGAGCAGGAACTGTGGAGACGGCGGCCGCCACGCGTGCTGTGGGAGCTGGGCTGCCACTGCCTGCACAGGGACTGCTCTCAGCACAGGCGGGCTTATGCCCCCGTTCAGCAGTGGGTCATCACCTCCCCCACTTCCCAGTCCCCCTTCTACATCAGCGTTTATGATTCAAGAGCCACTACTGACTCAGCGCCCGGTTTCTAATTTTTGGAGAGGCATCTGATGGGAGCAGCTCCTCGGCTCAGCAAGGTCCCACGAGGCACACGTAGCCGAGCTAATTACATCTGAACGGCTTTGGCCAGGTGTCCATCTTGGAGCAATTCGCTGGGACCCTGCAGGGCAAGCTTTGGGTGAGGGGTCCCCCAGAAGGGGTGTGGGTGGGCCATGCAGTGATTGACATCTCCAGAGCAGCTCCTCATTGAGGCTGTTAACTCCTCCTGGCCAGCAAACAGAAGCTGAGATGGGCACAGCGCGAGCTGCGGAGGAGGCGGTACATGGCCAGGAACTGCCAGCCCAGGGACCACCGGGCGAGGGAGGATGAAGAGGCGCCTGTCTGTCAGCAGACGTGGGACCTGCACGCCTTGGTACAGCTCGTAGGTGGCACTTCACCTTGAAGGCTCCGCGGTGTCCTACATACAGTCTCTGGAGTTCAATAGACTCCAAGTTCAAACTCCAGGTCAGCTATTTTTTTAAAAATATATTTTTTACTGATTTCAGAGAGGAAGGGAGAGAAAGAGAAATATTGATGATGAGAGAGAACCATTGATTGGCTGCCTCCTGCACACCCTCCACTGGGGATCGAGTCTGCAACATGGGCATGTGCCCTGACCAGGAAGCAAACTGTGACCTCCTGGTTCATAGGTCGACGCTCAATCACTGAACCACACTGGCCGGGCTCCAGGTCAGCTCATTTAAAAGCTGTGAGACCTCAGGCAAATTACCCTCTCTGGGCCTTAATTTCTTCATCAGTGAAATGGGAATAACAGTACCAGCCTCGTGTGTGGGAATTAAATGAAATAACTGTGTTAGGTGTTTCACACAGGGTCTGGCCCATCGCAGTCACTCACTGAATGTGATCTCCCTCGTTTCCTCCCCTTGGGACCCGGAGCACCGCCTTCCCAGTGGTGAGATGTGTTGGGGCAAAGATCCTGTGACCAGAGGTCGTAAGGCTTCTCACCCCAATTACTCACACCCTCAAAGGAGTTCCCTGCCTCAGGGCTTTGCACCTGGCAAAGGTGAAGCAAGCCTGCATGGGTCCAGAGCCGCCAGATGGTCCGTCCCGCCTCACCCTTTTTCAATCCCTAAAAAGCTGCAAAACAGAGAATTAGACCGCAAATGGTTTGGAGTCATAACCACGAAACGTGCACGTTAGAAATCGATGAACAGAAACATGTGTTGCAGCAACACTGAAGCAATGCTCCTGGGCGGGCCCCTCTGGTTTTACGAGTTCACTGACAGTGTGAACCCACGGCAGACCTCCCCCCTGAAGACTGGCGGTCCTGGGCAGCTCCGCAGCTCTGCACAGCGGGAATGCCGAGTACATGGCGTCCAGTGCCCGCAATGAGGGCGGGGGAGGAGTCCCGGCCTGGGGTTCAGGCCCACCTTGCTGCTGACTCGCTCTGTGTCCTCAGGCAGGTCCTGGTCCCTCTCCAAGCCTGGCCTCCACAGCCGTAAAATAGGAAGGTTGGACCCGATGATTCCTAAGAGGCCTCCAACTCACATAGGGAAGGGGCATCTCAGCGGTTAAAAGAGCCCTGGGAGTCACCCAGACATCGCTGGAGTCCGGTCCCCTCCACCATCGGGGTGTGACCGGGGGCAAATTGTCAACCTCTGCGCGCTCAGGTTCCTGGTGTGTAAACGGGATGGATTAGAGGGCAAGGTTGTGGAGATTGGGAAAGATAATCCGTAGCACAAAGCCTTGCCCATGGTAGGTTTTTGATGAATGTGAGATATCATTGTTAGTGCGTGGGGATTTAAAATCTACTTTGGGGAGCATGAATCATGATGGCCTGGGAGGCTCCCGGGGCCAGAATCAGCGGGTTTATGGAGAAATTAAGAGGAGAAATTCCCACATGTACAGCCAAGACCTTGCTCCTTCAATGAACAAGCTTCCCATTTTTTATATGTTTTGGGGAGGGGGGGTGCTCAATAATCTTGAAAGCCCAGCTTTGGGGAGAAGGACATGATTTTGTAAATCTTTTCAGCCTGGAGGACTTGACCACGAAGGTTAGCGTAAGCCAGGCCACAGACACTCAGAATGTGGCCCTTCTCTGAGAGGCCTGCCCCAAGTCGACTGGGTGGGTCCCTCGGGGCCCAGTTACTGCTTCTTGTCAGGCAAGTTTGGGAGCCTGGGCACGTGGGGACCCGAAGGCGGGGGCAGAGGAAGCAGTGGGCTCCGTGTGTGAGAACTGACCCCCACGGTGGCCTGGGGAGACGCGGAGGGAAGGGAGGGAACTAAATATTATCTCTCAGATGCAGGTTAAACCAGAACAAAGATGCCAACTGGCTAGTTGTCCCCTCCCTTCCTCAGCTCCCACTCCCTGAGGTGGGGCTCAGCGCCGATTAAATCAGTACCAGGAAAAGAAAAAAATAACGATATCTTCGTTGCACATCTGAGTGAGTTGTTGCTCTTATTATGTCACATCGTCGTCATCATCAGAATGTCACATCCTTGGGGGCCCACGTCCTTCTGATAGAGGCCTCCTCCCCTCCAAAAGCTCGCCCGGCCTCGTCTCCGAGAGGCCTCCAGCTCCGCAGCCTGGCAGGTCTGAGGGCCCCTTTATGTCCCGGAAGCTGCCCTTGCCCTTGGGGCGAGGACCAGAACGCACCCTTCCCGTCTGGCTGGGAGCGGTCTGGGCAGGAGGCTGGGGGTTAAATCCTCCCCAAGGGATGGCACAGCCACCGCTTAAAGGGTGAGCTCACAGGTGAGCTGAAGTCCCAGGTCAGGGCTCCCCTGGCCTGGCATCTGGGGCTCCCCTCTCCTTCCTCTCTGAAATCAATATAAATAAATAAATAAATAAATAAATAAATAAATAAAGTACTTGAACAGCCCTGGCCAGTGTGCTAATTGGTTAGAGCATCTGCCCGAACACCGAAGGGTAGAGGGTTCCGTTCCCGGTCAAGGGCACGTACCTGGGTTGCAGGTTCAATTCCGCCCAGGTCTGTCTGAGTGCATGCAGGAGGCAGCCAATCTCTCTCTTTCCTCCTCCTCCTCTCCCCCTCCCTCCCTTCCACTCTCTCTAAAAATCCATGGAAAAATATCCTCAGGTGAGGATTAATTTTTTTAAAAAGTGCTTTTATAAACATATTATCTGACCCTTTCAAAACTCCAGGAGGTAGTCAGGGCAGGTACTGTTCACTATTATTACAGTTCTTCCCATTTTACAGATGGAGACTGAGGCTCATAAGGGGGAATTACACACCCAAGTCCCACAGCTGGTTAGTGGCAGATTCAGAATCGGAACCCAGGTCTCTTGAGGTGAATCTTTGTTGGACAGTTCGCTTTGTTTGTTTGTTTTAAAATATATTTTTTATTGATTTCAGAGAGGATGGGAGAGGGAGAGAGAGATTAAAAACATCAATGATGAGAGAGAATGGTTGATCGGCTGCCCCCTGCACGCCCCACATTGGGGATTAAGCTCGCAACCGGGGCATGTGCCCTGACTGGGAATCGAACCCTGACCTCCTGGTTCATAGGTCGACGTTCAAGCACTGAGCCACACCGGCCGGCCGGGCAGTTTGCTTTGTAATCGCTAGTGGTGTCCTGCCACCAAGAAGATTCTGCTTGGCCATGTGCTCACTGAGGACCGCGAGGTTCGCCCCTTGGATAGGCCTAGTTGTGTCCATTGAAGTTGCACTGGCTACAGGCCTCTGCTGGGACCGCACTGAGGACTCGCGGAGAATCCTCGCCTAGGAATTCCGTAGGAGGCTGGAGCCCAGGGCGGGCAGGGCCTGGGTCTTGCTGCCTTTACTCTCCCAGCACCGAGCCGGCCCTTGGGGCTCCATACATGTTTGCCCACGGAGACATTTCGAGGGGCTAAGGGTCTGAGTTTTGCTCCCTCCCCAGCCACATGTCCCAGCAGCAATGTCCAGAGCGCCCCCTCTGCTTTGTTCCTCGTGATGAATAACAGGCAGTTAGGAGCCCCAGCTCTTTAGCACCATCAGCAGGTCTTGCGGGGGCAGACCCAGCTCTGCACAGTGAGGGTTTTATTCCTGCTGAACAACAACAAAACCACAGAGTGCGAAGTTGGGAAACTGACCGAGTCAGCAAAAATGACCCATAATCTACCGCCTGACACAACCGCTATTTTGAAGAACTCCCTTCCACTAGAATTCCTCCCTTCCTCTCCCTCCTTTCCTTCCTCCCTCCCTTCCTCCCTCCTTCTCTTTCTCCCTCCCTTTTCCCCCCTCCCTCTCTTCCTCCCTCCATCTCTCTCTTCCTTCCTTCCTTCCTTCCTTCCTTCCTTCCTTCCTTCCTTCCTTCCTTCCTTCTTTCTCTCATGAAAATAATACAAAATATTTAATATTTTAAAAATCACCTCATCTCTCACATCTACAGACAACCACTGTGAACATTCTGCATATTTCTCCCATTCTTTTTCAATGCCTTGTTTTAATACATGGATTATACAGAGCATACAATTATCTTAGTACATATGTATTTTCTGGTGTCACTATTTTTTTCCAATAATAAAAACAATATGTATTATTGAAATTTCTGGGAAAATACAAAAAAAGAGGGAAATAAAAATTACCTAAAATGTTCCTTCCACAAATAGAAATTTTGCATGCATTTATTACATAGTTATAATTCTACTGAATACAGTTTTTAAATTTTTTCCCACCTGTCTTATAATCATTTTCCAATGTTGCCTCATAGTCTTTATAATTAGTTTATTTTTTGTTTTAATTTTTAATAGGTAACACATTTACATGGCATAATATTTTAAAGATTCGGATATTTGATGGAAAGATTTCTTCCCACCTCGTTCCCCACTTGCTCATTTTTCTCCCACGGCTCACCACTACCCACTTCCTGTGAACCCTCCCCAAAGGACCCTTCTATGCAGAGCTAAACAAATACGTGTATATTTATACTAGAGGCCCGATGCACGAAATTCGTGCCCTGTGGGGCCCTCACAGCCACTGTGGCTTGCCTGGGCCCTCATAGCCCCGGCTTCCTCCAGAAGGTCATCCGGAAGGATGTCCGGAAGGTCGTTCGGCTGTCTGATCTAATTAGCATATTACACTTTTATTATTATAGATATGTTCCTTCCCCAGCTTACCACCCCACCCTACCATTTTTTAAACAAAGAATAATGAACTACCACACTTTTCCTCACCTTCCTTTTTAATTCAACACTATGTCTTAGAGGTCTTCCTATGTATATTCAAGAAGAGCCTCCTCAGTGTTTTTTTGCACCTCAGAGGATTCCCCTCAAGGGAGGTGCAGCATAATGTATCAAACTCCAGAGATGAACATTTAAGTTGTTTCCAACCTGTTGAAAAAAATGCTACAGTGACCAACATTGCACAGACATCATTGTACCTGTGTGAGCATCCATCTGTAAATTCCTAGAAGTGGAGTTGTGGGGTCCAAAAGAGAATGCATTTATAATTCTTAATATTTTTTTATTGATTTCAGAGAGAGGAAAGGAGAGGGAGGGAGAGATAGAAACATCAAAGATGAGAGAGAATCATTGATTGGCTACCTCCTGCACGCCTCCCACTGGGGATGTAGCCCGAAAACCAGACATGTGCCCTGACCGGGACTCAAACCGTGACCTCCTGGTTCATGCGTGGACGCTCGGCCCCTGAGGCCCGGCTGCATTTGTAATTGTGTTATGGCCAAGCTGCCCTGTGCAGGCTGGCAGCAGCAGCACACACTCTAACCCAGTGGCGAGCCTCGCTTACTTTCCCCATCTTTATTATCCTAAATAACAGAGTCAGGGCCAGCTTCAGGCAGAAACCAACTTCCCTTTTAGCCCCCAAATGGCACCTGCACTGTGTTGAAGGCTATTAGACGACAGGCATTTGCTGGGTGCTGAGCAGCGGGGATGCAGAGGGCACAGTGCTGGCCTGGGAGCTGGTGGAGCTGGCGGGGTGGCGGGGTGAGGAGGGAGGGCTATGTAATCCCTCGCAGAAGAGAACCTGGGTCCAGTTTTGCTCTCCTAAGGCAGCACCCAGGAGAGCAGGGTGGAGAGCCAGCACTCAAAACACATCCAGTGGATAAACGGTAAATTAACCGGATGTCCCACGTGGAGGGCAGGGGGAAGGCACCCATTTCACAGATGAGGAAACAGGCCGAGGAGGTGAGGTGGACTGCCTGAGGCCACACACAGTCACCGGCAGAGCTGAGTCTAGAAAAGGGCTCCTGATGCTGCATCTCGTGCTCTCTGCTCTGAACAAGGAGACGAAGGTCAAGATGGTGACTTAGATGTGACGTGACACTGGGGCCCAAGAGGAAAGATGAAGGGCAGAGCCGGGGGCAGAGGCAGAGACGGGGTGGGGGTCAGCTACCCACACCTGTCCCAGTTGCTGGATTATAAATCCTCTAGGAATTCCAGATATTCCACTCACGTCCAAGCCCCCTGCAGGGTTTAGAGGCAGAAGAGGCCCAGAGAACAGGGGCCGGGCTGAGGGAGGGGGTGGCCAAGGACACAGGTTCAGGAACCACCTGAGGGAAGCCGTCCCTGCCTGCCCTCCCGGGGCCCAGGATGGCTTCTAGCAATGACTCGGGGCTTGAAGGCAGTGTCCCCGTCCACCCAGCCAGATGGGAGGGGGGCAGCAGCCCAGACCCCTCTGCTTCCTGGACCAAGGGTAGGCGGCTGCTCCTCTCCTGGGGACATGCCTGCCCTTTGGAAGCTGCTCTGGGAGGTCACCAGAACTTGATCTTATCTGCGTGACATCCGCAGGACAGTCTGCCTCACCTTGGAATTTAGCCTCTGGAATACCTTTCTGTGTACCGAGTCCTGACCATCCCAGCAGGGGTCCCAGGGTGAGGGCACATGCTTTCCTTTCCCGGGAGGTAGAGGAGGAAGAGCAGACAGACCTGAATGAAATGACGGAACAGCCGCTGACTTCAGGGCTGGGGTCTTCGGGTTCCTGGGCTCCTGTAACCCTCACCGCACCCTCTCTGTGAGCAGGTGGTGTCAGCCCCCTTTACAGACAGGGAAACTGAGGCCCAGGAGGTCGTGTCACTTGTTCGAGGACACGGAGAGGAAAAGGCCAGGGCTCCATGGCTAAGTGCCCGGACAGGTGGCTGCCCAGCCCCACCCCACACCTCCGCGAGCTGCCCTGGGCCGCCCCTGGCTTTTCAACTGTAAACTCACATCCCGAGGCGCTGAAAACACTGGATCAGTGTTCTTCCAAAGTGTGGGATTATAGTTCATCGTAAGAAACGCATTGCCCTGGCCAGTGTGGCTCCGTTGGTAGGAGCGTTGTCCCGTCCACCAAAAGGTTGTGGGTTCAATTCCGGGTCAGGGCACATACCTAGATTCTGAGTTCAATGACCAGCCCCCCTCAGGGTGTGTGGGGGAGGCAACCAACTAATCTCTCTCTCTCTCTCTCTCTCTCTCTCTCTCTCTCTCACACACACACACACACACACACACACACACACACACACCTTCCCCTTTCTCTAAAAATCAATGAAAATGTTCTTGGGTGAGGAGGAAGGAAGGAAGGAAGGAAGGAAGGAAGGAAGGAAGGAAGGAAGGAAGGAAGGAAGGGAGGGAGGGAGGAAGGGGGGAGGAAGGGGGGAGGAAAGGAGGGAGGGATCACCACAGTGCAGCAAACAGACACACAAACATAATTCATAGCACTTAGAATACTTTATAATTATTTTACAAATATGTAAAACCAAACACAAGGTTTATGAACTGTTTTCCTCTACTGCCTGGGATGCACTGGCATTCTTTCACTCTCTGCCCCTCTGCGTCATTGATATTATTTTTGTTATCCCACACTCGAGGGTATTTTTTTCCTATTGATTCTAAGACAAAGTGGAAAAGGGTCAGTAGAGGTGAAGACGAACTAACAACACTATTTGTATTCGTTCACAAGTGGGCACAGGCACGACGGATGACAACCAGAGAACGCTGGGTCTTGACCATGAAC